GTGGGATGTAACGAACGATGCCGTCCTGCAGCATGAGCGCGGCTTTGTCTACAAGGCTGTGCGCGGGGTCGTAGTCACCTTCGATGACGACGCCCCGGAGGCGCGCGACTTGCGCGGCCCGGCGCTCCTCGCGCTCGTGCATGGGCAGGCTCTTGGGGGTGACGCTGTCACCCTCGACTCTCATCTTCAGATCCTGGATGCTGAAGGTCAGGCTTTCGAAGGCCAGGCGCCGCGCTGCGGCCTTTGTGCCCAGAGACGGCTCTGTCGCCTTGAAGACCTTCTTGAGAAGTTCTTCAAACTTCGCATCGCTGATGCGGTCTGGTTGGTCAGCGACGCTGTACGCTAACGTTCCGAAGGTGCGGATGTCTGCCGCAAAGAGCTTCGCCGACTCGGCGTCTCCTAGGAGTTGTTGAGCTCTGCTCGAGAATTCCGCGACACTGTCGACGAGGTTCGCCATCGTCCTGCAGGGCAAGTAAAGAAGAAAAAGAGAGAGAGACAGACACACTGTGCAGACTGCAAGACCCTACTAGGACAGACTGGCTGATGCTTTCGCTCTCTTTTTCACTCTGCATCGAAAGACTTGCTGCTCCAGCAAGTCTTGCAGTGCGGTCGGCCTGGTGCGAGGCTGCGAACTTCGCAACTCATATACTTTTCATTCAAGCAGCGACCGCAGAGAAGCCTCTTGGCATTCTCGCCGCGGCTCGCGTGCAGCTTGCCACTGGCAAGATGACACCACGAAGAGGCCCATTCTGGGAGAGTGCACTGCACCTCCCGTTTAAGGCGAGGGTTCTCCTCGACTTCGGGCTCGGCGACGAACTCGTCTTCTCGGTCAGTGTCACTGGCACTGTCTTCCGTGTCGCTGAGCTCCTGTTGTTGCGAGACCTTTAGGGCTTCCACCCCCACTGGGGGTGCTGAGCCCGAGGAGGTGTTCCTGTGAGAAGCCTTGCTAAGGTTCTCTCGCCTGAGGTTAAGCTGACTGCTAGGCAGCGCGAACTGTTTCCCGAGGGGCTGGTCGGGAAGAAAGTCGCCATCTCTGATGGCGATAAGAACCTCTTCCAGAGCCCGCGCTGCGGGAATGAGCACGTTGCGGCTGTACGTCTCAGTGCTCCGAGCACTGTCGTGCACGTGGTGGGCGAGGAGTCTGCGCAGGTCCAGGTTCACGCCGGCTTGCGAGGCCCAGGTGAGGCACGTCGCCTTGAGACTGTGACTGCTGAGGCGCTCTGCGCCTTCGCATCGGGCGTTGGACAACGCGCTGCGTAGCCAGGACGTTATTTCTTGAGAATTCATCGGGCGATCGGCTAGATCACCATCTGATGTAAAGGCAGGGATCACTGACCCGAGCGGGATTTCTCCGCTGGAGCTCAGACCCAGTTTTTCTCGATTGGCGAGCCACTGGCTCACCCACGACTCTTCGAAGAAAACCACCGGGGCTACCAGCGGTAGCAGCAGGCGGCTTCTAGCCCCGACGGCGGTTTTCGCCTTCTGCACGCTCGCCTGCATCCACAGTGTGGCGCAGGGGTCCTCTGGGAGCTCGACGGAGAAAGAGACAACCCGAGCCGCGTCGCTGGCGCGGGCGCATGCAAAAAGCATGAACAACAAGCCCCCAGACACGAGCCGGTGAGCAGCGGGAGGCTCGTGTGGCCGGACTGTGCCGGCACTACTGTGCTCTGCACCTGTGTGAAACTGGCGCAGACGAAAAGACCACTGGCCCTTTATCCGAACACTGTTCGGAGGGCGCTGGTGCACGCCGCTGGCGTCTCTACCAGCCACGGTAGTTCCAGCGCCGGTCGTGGTCCCAGGACCAGCGACCACGGGACCACTGGTCCCGGTCCTCATCGTCACGGCGGGACCGCTGGTCCTTGCCTTTGCCCTTGCCCTTGCCGTCTCTGCGGCGGGCCTCCCGTTCGCGGTGCTCGCGCTCACGGGATTCGGCTGCCTCGCGCTCCAAGGTCAACCGAAGGGACTCGGGCGGCCCCCTATAGTAGGGCGGCGATCGCCCGTGTACTCGAGCTTGCCGTCTGTCCGCGGGACAGTGCCTGGGCAGGAGTAGAGCTTGGCGCAGCGTGTGCAATGCATCACGCCGCATTCTGGACACTGCCAGGCCTTGCTGCGACGGTCGTGAGTAAATTGCCCCACCGCGCCACTGGCGCTGGGCTGTTCATAGGCATGCACTGCTGCCTTGAAAGCGTGAAGCTCGCCGCATGCACTGCACACGAACTCTGACGAAGGATCATTCCAGATGTTCATCTGCATGTTGTCGCAGACTGAACATGCGAAGACACGCTTCAGCTCCGCCTCTGTCATCTTGATCAGGGTGATCATCTGTTGCCGGGCCGCTGGCATGGCGGCAGGGTTGTTACGCGGGGCTGGTGGCAGGGACGCGGGCGAGAGCTCTCCCCACGACGTGCCACTGGCGGTGGGGGGGGCCGCTTGAGATGGCGCGGAGCGGCTGCAGCGGCAGGCGCCGCTGGCGCCTGGGTCTTCGCGGGAGCCGGCACTGCCGGGCTCGAGGACTTGCGGGCGACTTTGCCCTCAAGAGGAGGAGGCCGCTGCGCTGGCGGCGGCGGGGAGTCGCTCTCGGACTCCGACTCTTCCGAGCGGGAGCCTCGGTCATCTTCATTTTCATCCCGCCGCCCGCTGGGCTCCTCCACGTCCATATCGTCCGGCTCTGCCAGAGGAGCTTCCGCTGGAAGCGGTTCTTCCTTGACGCCAGACCCCGCTTCCTCAGCGGGACTGGTCGGGGAGCGGTGTTGCGAGGCCTGCGCTGCAGCCGTCGCCACAGGCAAACTGGCCGCCGCGTTGCGGTGGCCGTCGGAAGAAACACCACGTGCCGCCACTGTGGCTCGGTGTTCGCCGGCACCACTGGGGGCTCGTAGCCGAGCAAGACTCGCTGCAGCGCGACTGCGTTGGCTTCTGTGCCGCCACTGGCGGGCTTCGTCCAACCGGCGAGTTCCGCTGCCTCTGCCGCGTTCACTACCACGTCCCCTATCTCTGATAGGGAGACGGCTGCTTCGTAGAGGGCGGCCCTCTGGGCCTCCGGCACTGCGCTGAGCGCCTGCAGCAGCTGCTCATTTGAAGGATTCGCCATCTCTGATGGCAGAAGGAGGCTTCCGCTGAAAGCGGGGGAGTTTTGGGCACGGGGGGACTTACTAAGCTGAAAAGGCTGCGGAAAGAAAGCACTGCTTGAGAACCGACACGGTTTAAAGAGCTGACACAGCTGAAGAGACCTACCAGGCTCCCGTGACACACGACTGAAGCACACTAGCGGCGATCTTTTGCCGCCATTGAAAGCATGCTGTCGGCCCGCCGCTGTGGGCGACGTTCCAACTACCTCGGAGACGCCAGCCCTGTGGAGGCTACCGAACTGTCGGCGGCACGTACCAAAAAGAGGTGCACTGCACCAACAGGGGGCGACTCTCTGAGAGGCCAGCAGCTACGCGCTGCGCGGAGCGCCTAACGGCGGCCGCCCCTGACGCCGCGGTTTCTGGGTCGCTGACCCCGGCCCCCGCGATAGCAGTTTTCGCATTCATGATGATTGTGGGGGCTCCTGCCCACTGAGCAGTGCCGCCCACAAATCGCCATGCCCTGAGAAATGCAGCCCTGCTGCGCGCAAGGCATGCAACACATGAGGTCGCCACGCCTCTCTGGGTATTTCTCCCATCTCTCTGAGTCTGGGGTTGCCCGACCCGCTTGGCGTGCGCTACTAGCGCACGCAGGCCGGGGTACCTGCTGTCGGTCGCTGACCCAAGGTTACGCCAGTCATTGTTCTGGGGGTCCTCGCCGGGCTGAAACTGCCAGCCCCGCTGGCGATTGCGACGCTGCGGTCTGGACACGACCACAGTGTTTGCGTTTGGCGCGAACGGCACTGCCGTTGCGGCCTGGCTGCTAGCCAAAGAAACCTCGGAGTCTCCCGAGTTCTGATCACTGTCAGTGTCAATGACCTCAATGACAGGCTCCGCCGCTGGCGGTGCGACGCCGGCAGCTTCGGCGGAGGGTGGGCTGCCTGTTCCTGGAGAACCAAATGACGCCAAAGAAAACCTACATTTGACCAAAAAGCTTACATTGTTGTTTTTTGCCCTTTAAAAAACCTACAATGTTGTTTTTTTTGGTGGACACTACAGCAGTGCAAAAACTATGAACCATAAAGAAAAAAGTGTTTGTGGTTGGTTGTTTGTGGATTCGTGCTGGATGTTTCAAAAAATACAAAAAAAACAAAGCGCAGAAAACAACTCGAGCATGCATGTGGCAAATTCAATCATTGTTACCTAGATAGACATATCAATGATTGAATTCCTGAAGCAATCTTCTATCTCACGTTCGGAGATTGGTCGGAAGTTGTAGTGCCATGTCGTTTCGGGTTGAAGGTCAGGCTCCCGTTAAGGATTTGAACACTAAGGATTTCCAGTTACTCTAGTACGGTTATGACTTGAATCTGCAGGCAAACTACCGTTTCCAAGAATTTAGTGCACGGGATTACTGGGAGTTCGATACACATGAGCTCGATCGATCAAAAAAGCGGAGAGGCTGAGTCGGAGACATGTTTAACATGCATGACAAGCACTTGGGACTGGACACTGCTTGCTTGCTCACTGACAGGAACATGGCATCATCGACACTGCACACAAAGGAACGCATACCTCAGCGTTTTTCCTCTTGCTTTGCGAAGCGTGCTCTTCCAGCGAAATACCGCATTTGCAAGGTATCTCTTAATGGCAGTGGTGCCAGCTGTCGACGGGCCGCATCCGGATGCCTCAATAAGCTCGAGATATAGAAGCCAGTGACTTGAAAGAAGATGCCGCTTAACTCAATACTTAATAGCAACAAAAGTATTTCTGCCGAAAGACAACACCACACACTATTCTGATGAAATCCTCGTCGGCGTAGCAGGCGTTCAGCTGAGGATTCAAGCGGCATTTCTTTTGCCGCTCCCACATGTGAATCCAGGTGTGCAGCCTCAGTTTTGTTTGCGCAAACACGTGATATTTCAGCGAAACCGGCCCTCAAGGAACATATAATATGACGGAGCCAAGTCTCTTGGGCCGCAACTTGAACAGTTTGCGCCCCTCGACGTGGCAGGCAAAAGCTAGCCAGCAGTAGCCCTCGATGAAGCGATGGCAGGCACTGATCCCAGCATCAACATCCTCATGCGCCACGGCATAGATAGTCTTGTCCAGGATCTTGATGTTCATCGCCAATGCACGAGCTGTCCTAGGATGCTTGACGACTTTGGTACACCGATAACCGTATTACTCAGTTTACCATGAACTACATCTGGAACGTCGTAAGACCAGGCGCATTGAGAGAACGTACGCAAACTGGCGATCGGAGGAAGCCTTTTCTGATCGTGCATAAGCTGGCGCGATTTCAGCCTGAGTGGCAAGGCAAAAGGCATGCATGTACATACTGAGTCATCTGCACGGAAACTAATGCGATGTGGTAGCCATCCAGAGGCAAAGGAGCTTGACCTCCCAGCCTTTCGCGTTGAGCGCCGGGAACTTGTCGTCCGACAAGGAAAACTCGTCAATGCTCAGATAGTAGTTGTGCGACCGCGCCCAGTCAGCAGCCATATTACACGCTCTTTGTAACTCCATGCCGCGGCCGAACATGCAGACCAATGCGCTCGCAACGAAGTCGGGACCGAATCCGCGGTACGCGACGTGCAAGGTGTCGTCATATATCAAGGAGTTAGAAAAACCGTCCATGCTTACCAGAGGCGGCGGAACCTGCAAAGAGTTCATCGTTTGACGAAATTCCTTAGTTCATTTCAGGCAGGATACATGTGGCTTCTGGGGTACCAGCGGAGACGAGACTAGTGAAGAACAAACCATATTGCATCAGGGCTCCGCGGTGGACTCATCGGAACCGCGCCAGCCCGAATCAAGATACAGGTTGAGGTAGTGCGTAGATCCCGGAGCCAGATATGTTGGGCCATCTCGCGGGTCCTCCGTGCTGGCGAGCCTGAAGGCACAAAGTTTAAAGCAAGACAGCACCACATATGCAATGAATGCCATCGTATATGACGCCCCGCATAACATAAGCCGTCTTCAGCAAAGCCACTTGCAGATATGGCACATCCTGCGCATTGCAGGCAATCGCAATTCGTGCGAAAAAGCTGTGTATGTATGTCTGTATGTATGTATGTATGAAGAGCTATCTGCTGATTATTTGGCTCAGCAACTATAACTATAACTATACTTTCTATGGTCTGATTAGATATTCATATTTCCTTAATTATATCCACACCGTGCAACAACATGCGCGGCTCCTGTTTCCACGCTTGGCTCCATTTCCCTTCCAATGGCGAGGACTCGGTTGCCAAAACTGATCACGTAGCAGTAATATTATGCGCTTTCGGACTGCTCATTTATGACCTCAAAATTATCTCAGTGGCGGACAATTTGAAAATTTGGCTATGCCATTTCAAATCTCCTTTGACACCGAAAAATCGCACTCGCCTTCGTGCGCCGCCAACCCGAACAGACCTGAGTCAAACAATGAGTCAAGGATTGGCCTGTTTATGTAGATCTACTTTAACACGGCAAGAAACAACGACTGATTTGCAGTGTTGAGCACAAATCCTTCAAGTCACTTGCCAGGATAGTCATAATGGCATCGACAGTTGTGGTTGCCCTGGGGAACCTTGTTCTCGAAACCAATAAGTGGCCAGGAATGGCACCTTGAAGGAGTGCAAACGATCGAAGCGAAGATGTAGTCTCACGTGCAAACAAATGTGTTTCAACAGCCGAGCTGCACATGGCCAAGCGGGTCATTATCGTGTCCTGGACGCAAGTAGCAAAGATATTAACGGCAACAGCCCATATTGATGACAGTGCTTTAATTTGCAAACGAGGCACACCATGATTGTGAGGAAAGCTCAACGACAGCACCAAAAGATTTCGGTTCTTGAAATAAGGACCCTCGTCGCCGTGGATCCTCAGCAAAACATCCTCCGGACCTGAGCAGGCAGGACTGGCTGTATCGGCTATTGGAAACTGGTGCATCTCGGTGCAAACATACACCGGCCTTCAGGCGATACGGACTCACGCAAAGAATCCGATTCGTTGATGACGTCCACCAGCCTAGAAGACCAATCATTGGGGCAGCACCCGTGCAAGTCGGTCGTTTAAACAAAACCAGGGCGCAGCTGCCGTTGTTCCTCCGTGCTCTTGCCATAGAGCACGTGGTGCAGCAGTTCAGGGTCTTTCTCCAACCACCGGAACCATTCACTGGGCTTGACAAAGCCTCAGACATTCCCGCATCACAGAGGACAGTGACAATATCCCACGGTTTCAAACAAAGCTTGGAACAATATCACTGGAAATGTCTGGAACCAAGAGTGCACTAGCAACCAGAGCGGCAGGGATGGGATCAATCAGGCAGGACACTGAAGGACTTCTCACCCAGCTTCTTGCGTACTTGTACAGGCAAGGAAACTGTATGCACCTTCGGCAGGTCCTTTTGGATCTTCCGGTGGAAAGTGTCTTCTTTCCGGATTGTAGATAAGCGGCGGGTTTGAAAGTATTTCGACCCCTCGTCTACTGCAGCACCGCACACGTCGCCACAAAGCCACTTGATATCGGCACCTTTCTTGGCCAAACCACCCAAGACCGTGCCGGCCATTGGCGTTTGTAACATATGTTCCAGGTTGGAGTAGGACCGATCATCCTTCAGATGTTCCGGGGCGTTCTCCAGCACGTCCGAATTTCTGGGACGCTTGGCTGCACGATCATACAGTTTCTGCGCAGCCCTCTTTAGTCGAAGAGGTTTCGCAGAAGATGACGAAGCAGGCCTCATGCATGATAATGTGTGCCAACTATCCTCCCGCGCAAAAGGCACTGAACGAGCCCAGGAGTGAAGCCAGGACACTGCTCATTGTCAGTGTCGGGCGGGCCACCTGCGCAATACGGACAGTACATACTAGCTTCCAGGACTACCGGAAACGCAGGCGCTGAAGACGAACACATGAGCAAGCCCTTCATGTCATGAGTAGCCGGCATAAGCTCCTTTTTTCAGGCACGTCTTTCCCCAAGTTGGCAGTTCGCAAGAGCGGAAAGGCCCGGAAAGCCATACCCCGTGACAGTTCGCAGCCACCATCGTCCGTAGTCGCTGCACTCATGCTGTCGGCATTTGAAAAACCCAGGGACATCTCAGCCAAAAGCGGCTCAGTCCACAGACTTGCCCACGCTTCGCGCACAGCTCCGCGCAAAGTCCTGGCATAGGGCAAAGACTATTTCCCACTCAGTGTTCAGCGACATCTTACGAGCTTCAGAGAATGTGTCCTCTTTGGTGTTGTAGAAAATGTACATCCGCGCACACGCCTGGCAATCAGCATGTGCATGGAAAAAACAATAATGCAAACTGAAGCCCAAGCCTTCATCGCATCGACCCAGGTGGTCTCATCATCCTCCATGGAGACGTTTTTGACGTCCTGTGCACATGGTTTCTGCATGATTGTTGTTGAGTACACCCAGCACTCGAGTCAGCAAGTTTAAAGAGGATCCTGCCAGGCGCTCTCCAAGGCTGCCTTCGCCTTGTCGAGGTCTTCCACAGCCTTTGTGCTGGCTTCGTGGCCCTTGAGCTGCACGCACAGCTTTGCGTGTTGGCCTGCCTTAGATCAGCTGGCAGGATGAAGCAATCACTGCCCAAATAAGCCCAGCAGATGAGACAGCATGCATGCCAATAAGCTTGGGCACTTTTGCCAGCACGGAGCTTTCGACCAGCTTCTTCGTCTCGACGCGGTCGACGAGAGGGAAGGCCAGTTTATCGAGCGTACTGAGCTTCGCCTTCCTGAGATCCCAAGTTGCCTTGGGATTTTCGGCCTTGGCATTCTTCCCGCCCTTAGCTTTTGCCTTAGCCTTCGCCGTCGGAGTCACCGATGGCTGCTGTGGCGTCTCCGTGGAAGGGCCACTCGCCTGCTGCGTGGGCACATTCGAAGTCGAAGGCACCGGGGGAACCTGCGTTGGCACACTCGAAGGCTGCGGGGGAGCACCTTGGAAATCGTGCCATATATATGTTAATTGTTTCCAGAGAAACAAGAGAAACATCAAGTGACACCAAAGGTCACTGGACTGCTCTCCTTAATTGTCCAAGAAACCATCCGTCAGCATCTTCGGCTTGGCATCGACCGCGATGCCTTGCCTCTGATGCAAGCAAATATCATGGATTCATGGAATGTAAAATGGACTTACTTGAAGCTGAACTTGAAGCAAGGTGCAACTCTGCCAAGAGTTGCTTCGCTTCGGCCCGTGGGTCCGCGGCGAGCGGTACCACCTTGCTGCGAATCTCCTGGGATTTCGTCCAGGAGTCGTCCAAGGAGTCCTTTGTGACAAGGCGGTACACGCGTGCACCAGTCGACTTGAGGTTCGGATCCACTTTGGCACCTGGGCTTATAGGTCACAGAGCAAGAGAATGCGACACAACAGAATGTCGTGGTCACACACTATAATGAATGCAGCTTGGATAATCAAATCGAACTGCGTCCTTCAAGCTCCGCTTCCACCATGGCGGCCTTCGCTTTGGCCTCGTTCCCACGATAGTGGGCTAGAACATCTTCTGCCGAGATGTAGTCGTGGACCGTGCTCGCCTTCCTCAGCTCACGTCATTGCACATATCACTTTTAAAAGGTCTTGCATGATTCTATCCCAACGAAGAATCGGCAAATTGTGGGCTAAGTCCCCGTCTCCTGCAACTTTTCGCTGTGGATCATCTCCACTGTGACAGATGCCACGTCTGGATGCTGCATCCATCGCTTCAATAGTTGCTCGCGTTGGGTGCCTTTTGCATGCCATGCGACTATCATCTCATAAGAAGCACGGTTGACGTTCTGGCAACATCTGCGCAATGCTTGTCGAGCATTGCGCAGGGCCTCAGCTCAACATATCCGCACCAAAACCGCAACATTCCGACACAGCACAAAGCACTTGAAATAATGGAATGCAAGCCACGGACTTGTCGTGCTCGTCCTCTTCGGTCGGCTCGGCACTTGGGGCCTTGGGCACTTGTGGACTTGGCACGGATCCTGGACTTGGCACGGAAGCTGGACTTGGCACGGAAGCTGGATCTGGCACGGAAGCTGGATTTGGCACGGAAGCTGGATTTGGCACGGAAGCTGGACTTGGCATGGAAGCTGGACTTGGCAAGGAAGCTGGACTTGGCACGGCAGCTGGGCTCTGCTTGACATCGGAAGAAAAGGAAACCCTTCGCTCAGGGGTGGCGGTGGCGGTGGAGGCCTGCGAACGCAGGTCCTGAGTCTCCAGGACTTTGCTCCTTTTCAATAATGCAGGAGGCCTTGACACTTCAGGCTTAACATCCGCCGGCAATGGGCCATCATCACCGGGCTCAAGTTGCCGCTTCAGCTCTGCCGTGCGGGCGCGGGCTGCCTCCAACTTAGCTTGCAACTCCCGTCGGCGTTGCAACTTCTCCTCGCGAAGCCGCTCAGCTTCCTCCTGGCGAAGCCTATCCTGCTCCGCCGCTTCGCGGAGCTTGCGCTCCTTCTCGCGACGCTCAGCCTGGACCCGCTGGGCAATCACCTGAGCTTCCATCAAAGCGTTCTGTTCCTCCAAACGCTTGAGCTCTTCCAGCTCGCCATCCTCCACCTGGGTCTCGATGTTGTCCGGCTGCTCGGCATCAATGCGCTTGGTCTGCGCCTCAAGCGTCGCTCGCCGGGCTGCATCTTCGGCCTCCTGCATGGCGCGAATATGGTCCTGCGCCTGCCGAGCTTTCTCGGCATCCTGTGCCGCCTTTTCCTGGCGAGCCTTCTCTGCATTCTCTGCTGCAGCCTTCAGAGCATCCTCAGCCAACTTCGCTGCCCGGGCACGCTGCTTCTCAAGTTGAGCCTCGGCTTCCCTCTCCAACTTTTCTTGCTCCTCGTAGTGTTGCTCCAGCTCCTTGTTCAGCAACTCGTCCAAAGGAGTGTCGTCCTGTAGCCAAGCACAAATAGGTCATTTCACGTCACATGCAATGCTCTCCAGTACTGCCAAAGTCACCCGACCTCGTCTTCGGGCGGCTTGACACTCTCCGCCCTACGGGGGAGCTCCTGGGTGTCTTCCTCGAGTTCATCTCCTCGAGCATAGACCCTATATATGGAGACCCCCACACGCACGAACACACAACAGTCCTGCCACTTCCGTGGCCCGATCCGTGGCCACATCCTCCGTGGCCCCGTCCGATGCCTCATCTAGCACCGATATACTATGTTATCAAGCAGCAGCTTAGAATTGAAACATCCATCCATTCCGTCTGTAGTACGTGCAGCCAAGCAGCGGCGTCCATCAGTTCCTGCTTGCATGCCCTGAATCGGCTGCGCAGGCTGGCCTGCAGCAGCTGACAAATGAACTGCTCATTTCACACCCAAGCATGCACAGCACCGGTCCAGCTCCTGCCCAACCTCACGCCCCAAGTCAACGCAAAAGGAGCGACCCCCAGTACTCGCACCCCCCAACCGATCCGCCCCCCCCCTCCGCCAGCTGCTATATGCCTCTCCTACTCTCATGCATGACAAGCATGCTATGTCTCTCGTATCTGCATGCATGACGAGCACGCTGTATATCTCTCGTATGTGCATGCATGACGAGCACGCATGTGTGTCGTGCGTATGAAGCAGGCATGCATGTTGGCTCGTCGTTGTGTCGCACGTACGAACACGATTATGGTGAATCTGGCACCGCCGAGCATGCTGCACCCGCCTGAGCCTCCAGGTCATTGTCGAGGTGCTTCGCACCGGCCAGCAAAGTGCTGCTTGACCTATAGGAGGCATAAATCATATATGGCTTCTGGGTGTGTGTTAGCTTAAGGCACCTGAAATCATGCACAGCGAGCTAATGTCGTGAGGCGCAGACATCTGGCTCTCGTAGGTGGACATGACAAAGCAGTGTCCACCCGTCGTTGTTCGAGCCGATCGTCTCGCCGGGCTGAATAGTATCATAAATTTCGCGAATATTTTATCATGTATATATGTATATGTTGCTAGGGTTCGGCCGTGTACGGGCGGTGTTCGGGTTCGGATTGTTTAGCTTAGTCCACGTGGTACGGGCGTGTACGGGTTGTGATCGGGTTGTGTTCGGGTGGTGTTGTTTTTAAGTTTTGTATGTGATTTTAAAAAAGTTTGGTGATAACACATAGAAACAGTTATGAACTTCATCATGTGCATGTTGCAACAAGATGATGATGGATTTTTGCAGCCATATGTGCATGATGAGTATGCCAACACGACATGAGGATGGAGTTGTGTGCTATGTATTAGGCAGCATGTGTGTGTGGGGTTCGCATGAATGTGAGAAACACATTATACAGCTCCTAGGTATGTGATATTTGAACCGAATATTTTCAAGAGATCATTAAGTAGAGTTCATGTGTCATGCCAAAACACCTAAAACATATTTCTGCATCATGCATTTCAGAGCACCCAGTGCATGCATCATATGTTATCGAAACAACATATGTCTATAAGTATATATATGTACAGCAATATCCCTGCTGTAGTTTGTGCATTTGTTGGATCTAGTGCAGGAGGCTGCAGCAATATTAAGCTAGCAATCCCGAGTTTTTAATTCGAATTGGACCCATGTGCAGCTGTTGGGTTATTGCGGGTACCTGCACACAGCCCAAACTCGCACACAACCCAGAACCTACACAACCCGAACGCGTACACAACCCGAACCCGAACCCGTACACAACCCGAACCCGAACCCGTACACAACCCGAACCCGAACCCGTACACAACCCGAACCCGAACCCGTACACAACCCGAACCCGAACCCGTACACAACCCGCACCCGTGCACAAACGGTGTATACATGTTATGGGTGTGGATACGAGAAAGTTTTTGGAATCTATGGGTTTCAAGAATAATAATATAGCTTCTTGGGCGATTGGATTTGGGTACAGAGGAGGATGAGCTATATATCGTGAAATACAGTTCAAGCCTGCAGTCCAATCATGACACCCTAGAGCAGAGTCTAGAGGCATCGGTGCATAACACAGAAATACACGTATACACAGATGCGCATATGCATACAGAGTTGTATATGCACATATATACGTGTGCTCATGCATGCATCGCCTGAGAACGCAGCTCGGAATCTATTGTTTCCCCAGCACCTGAGCCGACTCCTGGAAACGGGATGAATCGAGGCTCCAGTGCATGTCCCCGGCGGCCGCACTCATAGCTGCGATCAATCTGAAGACCAACACAAAATGAGTTCATGACACCATCGTATCGTACTGAGAGGTACCTTGGGCAGCTCTATATGATGCAGGCCGACTGCCCCGCAACTGGGAGCTAGCTAGCTCCGTTCAAGCTTCACTGGCCCCATTCCAAGGCCCGAAGCAGTTCGCAAACCAGCGTCCACGAGAAGCTTCCTGAAACAGCAGTGAGCTCAATCCTTCAATGAACAGCCGGAAGACGGTGTTAATTTTGCGCATGACATATAAGGATCGCGCTTGTAACCATCACTCGGCACTCTAATCCAGCGGCTTCTCGCGAGATATGCGGCCACGTGAAAGAGCTCGGCCTCCAGGAGCCAGCAAAAACCACAACGTGTTCGGTATGCAATTAATAACGAATGCAAGGCACATCCGCGAACTCGGTCCCCGGGTCCAGGTCTGGGTTGCCGTCCTGGGTGTAGAACAGTTCATACCTCAGCAAGCACTGTCATATCAAGAATACGACATGCACAAGCTTCGAGGAATCCCCGGTATATGACGCCCAAGCGACCCTGTCATCTCTTCAAATATCGTCGGAGGAGCCAATGGCATGCATGGTTTCTGCTTTTGGAGCTTCGCATCGGCCAGGACCAACTTCGCGATGCGTCGGGCCAATGGCTTCGGGTATTCCCTCAGCGGCACTGCAATGCCCGGTCAATTTTTTTTATTTCACAACTCAGCATATGACGACTGCAACATAATGCCGGGAAGGTGCTGTGTCGCCTTCAAAGACGTGTTTCCATAGACCTTGGAGCCCTTTCTCCTTACCGTTTTCGGGAGGCCAAGCTTCAGCCGTCTCCGCTCCGACAATCGCTTCCGCCTTTTGTTGAAAGCTTTGTAGAGCCCCTCAACCCACAACCTCAACTTCGACAGAAGAGTAATCATCAGACATGCGATGGGCACCTGTGGTGGCCATATGTCAATCTCTCCAAAGTGCAGTCAAGAGAACTTATTGGAGAAGAAGGAGGTTAGCTTGGGACACCAGTGTCTATACGATCCCAAAAATGTGTTGATCTTGTAGGTCTCATTCGGATCAACGGCAGCCGGGGCGGCCGGGTGCTTTGTCATTAACGATGAAGCCGGCTGCTCCAATATCCATGATCCAAACAGGCAGTTGAGAAGCTTCACCACGAGGAAAGTCCTAGTTTCAAGGCAACATGCAGTGCCAGACAAAGGCAGTGCAGAAAGTCACCAACACACGCACCACACACCGGCCCTTTGCACACACACACACACACACACACACACACACACACCAAGGTCTCATACCTATGCCAGCATTACCGGATCTAGGCTCGCAGGTCCTGGCCACCATACAGTTCGCGGCGCACACACTGGGAAGCTCGGTGCGTCCTCGAGGCAAGTCCTCACCTCAGGCGACCCGAATCATTAAGCCATTAAGCTGATTATGTTAGATTTCATGCGTGGACTATCGTAGCACTCAAACTATGCGGCACATGAGTTTGCACCCAAGGCTCTCCTGCCGGTGCTGAAGCGGTTCATCCATACCCACGTACTGCAAACTGGTTGCAACAGTGCAAACCTGCAAACTCTGAAGATCGAGTCTAAAGAGTGGAACCATGCACAGACGGGCTGGAACAACGGTGCGAAACCCCGGGCACAAACGGTGTTGCGGCCTCGGCCCCGATGGCTTCAAGCACAGCAGGGAGTACAGAACCAGCCTGACAGCATTAATCCAGGACTGCACAGAGGTGCACTGAAGCAAGCCCTCACCTTCAATATTTGCGAAAACGTGGAACAAAGTCCACAATCGGGAAGACTGAGGTTCCTGCGCAAACCCGGCCGGCGTGTTGATGTCCATGGACTCGTGGAGTTCGATGTCGTGGGACGATACGCTGAATCCGACTGATACCAGCACGTCCTTCAACAAACCCCACTATATGGCATCAAAACTACCGCCATCACACGCACCGTGCCTTGACGGAGCCCTTGCCTGAAAAGAGATCCAGAATGTCCCATTTGGGAGTAATCGGTAGCTCTGTGTTCCAAATCCTTGATCGTTGAAAGCATGGAAAGCTTGAATCAACAATCTAGCGCATACTCGGATGGACTCCTGCGACAAGAATGTTGAGGCGGCGACACCATCAAGATGCAGAGTATCAGCAGCTTCGGAACCCCAGATCCAATCAATGATCGAACCAAAGCATCGTAGGCACTTGCTGTCCTGCGCCAGGGCAGGCCACGGACATTGCCAACAAGCCAGTGATATGACTCACCCGATCAGGAATCCCAAGCCTCAGCAAATTGAAGAGACAGAGGCACAAAAGCCACCGCGTGGCCACCATGTCTTCGCACGACACGTACCGCGGGCTCACGACTTGAACAAAAAGCTCCAAAGCCCAGCTTTCAATCTGCAGGAAGCAAGACATGATGTCACACCCACACACGAACACTTGCAGAGTGCAGGGGTGGGCGTGCCAGAACCGGAAGCTTTTGCTTCCGAAGTCGTCGGAGCATCTGAAGTCCCAGCAGTACCTGCAAATTCCAAATTAAGATAGGTTCAATCTACTGACAAGGGCATCGATTCCTTGCATGGCACAGCTAGCACAAACACCGCTCCAGAATGAAATTATTTCTTTCATACCGCCCGCTCAGTGGTTCCTTTGTGGCATCTTGTTCCGTCTCAGAGAGCCACTTCCACAGAAAGCTTGAAAGTTTTCTCCAGCTCAGCAATGTGCTTCTGCACGTCCTTCTCTTCCTTGAAATCTTCAAAATTTGGATTGGCCTCCATCACATAGTTGTACCATTCTTCCTGCGCATATGCATTTGTCCATCTTGTGATTTCTGCAACACGGTCGATCAGCTATAGCGGGTACTAAGTACATGGTTTGCGGAGTCCTGGCTCTTAACCATTTTGTTCTTTTTTGTATTCGGCTTGATCTTCCTCGGATAGCAGTCAAGCTGAGCCAAGCAAACAAAGTTGCCAAGACAGACAACACACCACAGCGACAAATAAGAATCAGGCACGACCGGAATTCAGGAAAGGCTCTCGTACCAAGTCACCTTCATATGCTGAAACCTCCAGGATCTTGGCGCTGTATGCGGGGGAGTCCTTCCTGCAAAATTCTTGAACATCCCGTCCGACTGGACCTTTGCTGCGCCGCCGGCAGAGCGCTTTTTGGGGGCGGCGTCGGGGCCCTCCTTCGGCTTCGGTTCGCTCTCGCCCTTCGGGTCATCGTTCTTTGGGCCATCTTTCTCGTCTTCCATCGTTGGGGCCGGCTTGGGCTCCTTGGGCTTAGCGTCCTTGGCACTGTATGAATACATGATGTGAGCCACGTACGAGCAACTTCAAAAGCAATTCAGCACAATTGTGGACGAGCTACCTGGGCACCTGGGGCCACAAAGGCCCGTTCCTGCGAAATGTCGGCATGGGTGCCCTTATCATGCTCCAGCTCTGACTCATCAGAGATATCCAACGGATCCTCAATTTCAGGAAGCGTCGGCAGTCGTAACAGCAGCAAATAATACTTTAGCCCAGCGGCAGCACCGAAAAGGCTCTTGCATGCTTCCAAGTAGTTGGCCTTCGCCTCCTGAACCGCAGCTTAAGTTCTTTCTAAAACTCGTGAAAAAACAGACGCATGGCTGATACGTCCTGGCCTCCCTGCGTGCCCGCTTCTTGCTCGAGCCCTCTTCGGCGGTGTCCGGACATGGCCTCACAACTTTCCCATTAATTCATGGGTCTGGAGATCCGGGATCAGTGGGTTCGAAAGCCATGCGCGATAAATCTGCAAGACAGCTCTAGTAGCCGAAGAACGGGGCTGCACCAGCGTTGCCGGTGTCATCTTTCTCCTCCAAGCACTTCTTCTGCTTCGGCGGAGACGGCAGGAGCCTCAATCTGGCTAGTCAATAGTTTAAACAACGGGCTTTAAGATGAAGCGTTCAGCCGAGGGACTTGCACTTGAGTGCATCCAACTTCGGATGATGGCTGGACCTCGGCTCGCTGGGGAAAGAACTCAGCTTGCAGTCGCCTGCCACCACGTGCACCGACATTATATGTGCTGCAAAGATTCTCCGAGCGACCCTTCAGCGCACGTACTCGAGAGCACGCACGCTTCAGCAAGCTCGCGCAAACAGCTTGCTCCAGCGCATTGAACTTCTGGCAGGCGACCATCACCTGGAAGCAATATCAAAGTAATGTCCACGAAGGGATAATCAAGCCACCGATTCACCACGAACGAACCTCGGTCGATTGTTTGCAATCCAAGCGACTGCCAGATCAAAAACTCGTGGGGCCGGCGTCTTGCATATGTTCAGCTCGCCTCTGCTGGAAATGATGTGAAGCTGCAGCCCTACTTCCAAACACAATATCTCGAGGACTGACAGACGCAGTGGAAGATATTACATGATCTACCAGGCGGCGGAAGAGATCGAAGAGTACGGAGAGAATCGGGGCCAACATCTGCTCCACATAATCAAGCGGTATTTGCGTAGATGGATTTGCGAAACGGCTAGAGCCTTCCCAGACTTCGTCAACTCCTCGATTGCTGCTCATGCTACTGGAATGCAAAAACCTTGAAAAGAGTCGCACTCAGGAACCACATCGTGCAGCTACGATTCGCGTGCAGTTGGCCACAAGAGGCTTTAGCGCATCTGCCATTTTGCTGGCGGTCTGCAAGCACAGATCAAGAAACCCCGAAGACGACACTGGACATCGCCCTTTCAGTGACAGAGTTCGCACGGCAGTTGAAAAGTCGACACGGCCTTGCTATCGAAGCCGCCGCGGGTGGTGTTGTCATCGGACTCGTCCTTAAGAAAGCTAGGAAGCAGTCGTCACGTCTTCAGACAATTAACATGGCGATGCACTGGCGGCCACATGTTCATGTTGCTCTGGACTTCCAGTACTTTAAAGCGGGGCTCGAGCTCACCCGCCCCAACCTCGGGTGCAGTGTGCGACGACGATCCAGCCATGGCGCACCGATCCAGCAAGCCCTATGCCTGCCTAATATGATAACAAAGAGCCGAACATCACACCACAGCCTGGATTCTGAAGCAATCCGAGAGTCCAATGCGGTTAATGGAAAACAACTGCACCTATAGCCCGGGCTTTATACTAAAGTGAAATGTTTTATTATAAGTTTGTGTTTGTCGATATTTACATATGTATGTTTGCGCACGTGATTAAATTACCCGAAACACATATATACAAACATACACACATTATATATGTAGATAGATAGATATATACAGTATATGTACAGGTATAGAATTCATTGATCCATTTACTTTTGCATTCACTCAGCCATTCATTCTTGCGTTTATATGTAAACCTGCATATATTCATATACATATGTTAAGTACAGACACTATGACACACATACACATGAGGTGCTGCATTCTGTTTCTTTGCTACACTTACGTCAACTACCACTTAGGCGTAACTGCGGGAGGAGGTGGATTGATCTTCTTGAAGGGATAGGGTTTTGAAGGGATGGGCTGTCCGCTGATACGTCCCACAGGTGCAGGCGTTAACCGCTTGGGCGGGGGAGGTTTGCGGAGCACCGGCGTGTACAAGCGGCCCGGCGGTAAGGCGACTGGACCCAAAAACGATGCAAGATTTGACTGCAACTCTGAGTTTGTCCAGGCTGTCGTTGAATCCGGGTCCGGATCCTGAGGGGCGACCACACAAGAAGACGCAGAGACCGACGTCGATGTCGATCCCCGTTTTCTAGGAAGGGGACTGCGAAAACGCCTCCGAGAAGGACTGCGATGAGGACTGGGAGGTCGACTGCGCGAACGACTGCGACGGCGAGAGTCAGAGCTCGAGCTCGAGCTCGAGCTCGAGGACGATCGTTGACGTCGAGAACGAGACTCTGAAAGCGTGTACCTCGGAGACCGTCGAGCTTTGGCTTTGGCAGTAGTCCCCAACCTCGATCTCGATCGACTCCCGCCCTGATGCTCAGGATGCTGCTCTTGCGCGACGCTGGTGGGGGAGAGTGATCGATCCACCTGATCCCGCTCCATATATATGTACGTCTCTATAGCTGGGTTATGTATGCACGTGCACAATTAAAACGCAGAAAAGGAAGCGGCACAGATCTGACATACTGCTCACCACAAGTGCAGCAAAAGCCTCACTCAATTAATGCATCCCTGCGGGTGGGCGCACTGTACCTCTGTAGCAGCTTCAGCCGCCGTCTGCTGCTGAGGGTCGAAAACATGCCATGCCATGATTTGTGCTTGACAAGCTTAAGGCTGCATAAGCTATATGTCAACACTGCCCATGCATGCGTGGACAGTTTCGAAGCTTCGTGCTGTCCTAAGCGGCTGTCTATCACATGATTATGTTGCAAATCTGAAGGCTCGCTCGGTTTATCTCTTTCAAAGATCGAAGCATCCGTGAGCTTGAGATACACACCCACTGTTGTTTCCAACAAGTTTCAAGTGAACACAATATTTCCCCTTCTTTCTCACTCTCTGCCTCTCTGCTTGTTCTCACAGTATTCTACCATTGATTTGCATGGTCCGGAAAATCAATGGTAGAATTGCCATGCGCTACAGTATATATTAAAAATTCTACCATTGATTTGCAATGTTTGAATCAATGGTAGAATTTGTTGCAATCGAACTAGATTATTCTGGTTAATCTCTCACGCAAGGCACAAAAAACTTTCAGGAACATGCAAAAAACGGTCGTAAACGCAGGTTCCTAATTTGTTCGGGCCAAAAAATCCTACATTGTTGTTTTTTTGTGCTAAAAACTAACAATGTTGTTTTTCTGGTTGTAAAAACTAACAACGTAAGCTTTTTGGTCAAATGTAGGTTTTCTTTGGCGTCATTTGGTTCTCCAGGTTGTGGCCGAAACAGGCTTAGCAGGGGCGGCTGCTGGCGGCGGCAAGGGAGGGTCCGAGGCTGATGCCGATGCTGTCGGCAGAGCAGTGCTGGACGAGGCGGTAGGGTCAGTACTGCCGCTGGCAGTCTCGTGAGTCTTTTTCTTTTTCTTCTCCGAAGGGAGAATCTTGACCCAACCACCCTTGCCTTTGCCCTTACCCTCTGGGTGCCATTGGAAGCCGCTGGCTTCAACCTTAGCAGCCACGTGGCCCTCTAGGGCATCCACCCAATTGAGTCTCCACTGGAGCTTGGGTACATTATCTTCCTCCCCACTGGGGGGCCAGTCGAAGAGGGCGGTATACGGCCAGCCAGGTGTGGCCGCTGGCCGCATAGGCACGTCGCGCTGCGACATAGTGTACCGGTGCATAGGATAGGCACTGCCTGAAGTGTCCGGTTGTTCGCCCTGCATCTGCACAAAAGGGTAGAAGGGGGGCCAAACTTTGGATTCCCCTTCCCCTGCTCGATTGAGGGCTTCGTGGTCGTCGCTGACGACCGCGGGATCTACCCGCATGGCGCAACTGAGGGCCCAGAGGAGATAACTTATCTCCTGTTGGGCCATTTCTTCACGCATGGCCTGCTCTAGCACGAATATCGGATTGCACTGCAAAAACCGAAGACAAGAGCGACACTGTCGCACGCGTTGCAGGCATTGTGGCGCTGCCAACTTGTTTTCCTGACCGTCCCTCCTAGGGTACGGCGCCTCTGGCGACTCAGCCGCATAAATGCGTGCTGCTTGGTCAACCATAACTGGCACTGACAGTTATATCAAAGGGAGTGGAAGGTCGTCGCTGACGACCCCCACTGCTGCGGAGCACTACAAGCTACTCGATAAAAACTTTTGGATCACAGATCCAACTCCAAGCCGAAAGCTGCACGGCAAAGTTTGTCTAGTGTAACTCACACGCAAGTGAAAACACTGTTTTCCTTTCACGACAAACTTTGCCTACACTTTCGGCGGAAAATAAAACCCATTCACGCACGCATGATGGATGCATAGAGAGGGTTTAAAAGGGTTGTGCGGCAGGCCTCTGTGCACTGCGAATTTTTTTCCGCGAGAGCGATGAGAGCTCTTGGATTTTGTGCCCTGACCTAACTCGGTGTAACACCAAGAAAGGGACAGGGCAGTGCTTTGATATATTGTGCCCTGACCTAACTCGGTGTAACACCAAGAAAGGGACAGGGCAGTGTGGTTTGATATATATTGCGCCCTGACCTAACTCGGTGTAACACCAAGAAAGGGACAGGGG